CCCAGATCAGAAAGAAAGAGCGCGAAGCATAATCAAAGTCTGGAGAGGAAACGCTATGCAAAAATGGTTCAATCCGGACAACTCAGATTTGAGGAAGATTCAAATCTTTAACAGAGGAGGAAACCACTGGGTCACCGTTACTAACGTTCACACCGGACCGGAAAATTACGTTAATGTGTTCGATAGCCTTGAAATGTCCATAACAACGTTTATAAAGCAGGCGATCGCTTCGATCATGCAGCTTCCTCCTGCGTTTGAAGAAATCAGATTGTATAGCCCAATGGTGCAGAAACAACGCAACGGCAAAGACTGCGGAGTCTATTCGATAGCCTACTGCGACCTTCTGTGTAAAAATCAGGATCCGACACACATGACGTTCGACTTGCAGAAGGTGGGTTTTATATTTAGTTATAGTATGTATAGAAACGCATCCCCAGTTCATGTATCGTAGACAGGACAACCAGGCATTGGCAAGAATTAGCGTAGTACAAACTCAGCTTATTGGCCAGCTGTGATACGCGAAAGTATTTCCACCTTAAATGACCTCTGTACTGCACAAAGTAATACACGTCTATGCACATCAGGTGAACAAGGTACCTTTACTGAATGAGGCAACCTTTCCCAACCTGTCTGAATATTGTAGGAATCTCCATCAATTTCATAAGCATCTTTTAAAATTTAAGATATCACGCAATCAGTTTACAGGTCGGTCGCACCAAGTGTGGACAGTAACAAAAAATTCTCAGCTGCCACCGTTGAACCCCAAAATGCTTCCGTTATTTTTTTATGATTATTCTTTATCTACAGCGACTTTTTTAGTCATATTTCTGCACTAGAAGTTAATTTGCAAGAATCGGCAGCCGAATTTTCTTTTTAAATTTTTTCACAAACATCGCACTGCTTAATAAGAATTACTCATGATCAGTCAATATTCTTTTAAAAATTGTGAGTGGTTGAGAACTTGAGAACTACCATAATGAAGTGGTCATACAAAGGTACTTTTCTACCTTTTTTTAAACTGCTAACATCTTACCCAACGCGAGCCGCGCTCCAGGCAACCACATTCTTTTGAAGGTGGCTTTTAACATACAGGTCTATGGGCGATACATCAGTTTTCAAAATTTCCAAGAGCACGGATAGCGCAAGATTCTTTTGCTTACCCACAGAGGACACCTTTTAAGTCACTCAATAGGTTTTGAAAAAGTCCTTACAAAAAGATCACCTCCTGAATTTTTTAGAATGGCACCCGAAAAACGCCCGCTACCCTCCTTTCTTAAGCTCCACCCCGCCCCCTACGAACACGTTAGAAGACCCCGGTTTTATTATTGTTTGTCCGCAATGAAAAAGTTATACAAGAAGGGTGCAAAGTTAATGTTAAATCCACTTACAGAATTATATTAAAATTTATTTTGTGCATCTGTCCATACTTGGCGCGACCGACCAGTATTTACTACGGTACTATGTCCACAGCAGCTTCACTGTGGTATTTTTAATGCTGATGCATTTTTTATTGTCTAGTTTTTTTCTTAGGTTTCAAGAAATTATTGACGTTTAGCAATAGTCGCTCAGCTTTATGTCGGTAGTCGATCTTTTTTCAAATTTCAAGCTAAATATTGTATCTTGTGAGTTAGCAAGATAGCGGTCAGCAAACTGCCGGTGTGCTTTCGACAATCTACAGATAGTAGCAGTATTGCTGATGCATTTGTGATGGAGAGCAGAAGATCAAAATTCTTGTCTTCCATAAACATGTTTGTTGCCTTTTTTCTTGATCATTTCGGGCACCGTGTTGATTTGTTTAGCCTAAACGGCTGCAGAAAATCGCTCCTTTCGCTCGCAGATTTGCAAGCAGGAAGCGATTCGGCAATGAACTCCTTAGCCGAATGACAGCGCCAGTCTTCATTCCTTTTCGGCGACCTTGGATTCACAAATTATCTTCCATATTAAAATTAAAATTGTAATGGTGTAAAATTGTACTTAGGGAAAAGTTTGTTCTAGTAATTTTATACTAATTTCTAGTGCTGTATAAAAACCGTGTTATCTAAGGTGATAGACCAGCCCCGAGCCATAAGCATTACAGCCGAGGGAAATACTTAACCTGTGCTCCTTGCTTTTGTTGCAGAGCAGTGAGCAGCCGTTTATGAAATGCCGGGAGTATCTAGTTGAGAGGTTTGAAGCTGGAACGTTTGCCGGAGGAAACGGGTTTCCGTCAGCGCCTGACCGCGCTTACAGCTGCACGATTCGGTCAAGCTGGGAAAAAGCGAAAATTGTCCAGATCCATTGCTACTGTCGCATGCCAAAGATGCCAACAGAATTCTTGGATGCGTTTCATACCGACCCTATGATTAAGTGCGCAAATAGACTGTGTGTCATAAAGCTGTTTCATAGCAGTTGTGTGCAGCAACTGAAGGATCCGCGGCCACTGGACAAAAATTGGCTGTGCGGCCACTGCAGGAGCGACGAAAGCTTGTCGGTAGACGATCCCGTTGAGCGCTTGCGCTTTGATGTAGCGGACGAGCCAGAATAGTTGGATAATGGTTAGTGTTTCTGTTTTTGCCGACCCTGTTGTTCTTTTGTATTGTTATTTTGCGTTTGCTTAATAAAATTTTGTTCGGTTGCACGAGGCAGTAGCCGCTACCTACCGCCAAACGCACGCAGCCGAGGTTCTTTGTGTTTTTTTTCTCTGGTACATTGGACTGTCCAAGTATGCGTCTGCAGTTTAGTGCATAAAGCATTATTATCAGTTTGCAGCTGTACATACATCATACAAGTATAACAGTATGTATTAATGTGCATACCGTGCTAATATATTCAGAAATCAGAATCAACTTTCAAAAGCATTTGACAACCTATGTTTAAAATGAAAAGAAATCAAGAACTTTTCGCCAAGCGCCGGAGAGATTCGGTTTCCCTTGCTTCTACCCACTAAGATGTCGGCCTCAAAATCAAATTCAATACATGAGTATTACAACCGCCCGAAATAAACAAAAAAGTCGGGTTGATAAATTTCAAGGTCAAAACAAAACTCGGCCGTTGGCAACTAGTTTACGCAAAATACCTATTACCCTGGTGAAAAACCGGAAGCATACCAGAAGTTCAGAACCACCATACCAGGTACGGTAACCATTGCATTTATGGCCTCTCCTAGATCATATGTATTTGAAAAATAACGCCACCCCCGAAATTACGCCCCAGGGTGCCAATAATAAACGTCAAGCGCTGCAAAATGGTTGGCATGCCGCAACTTCCTCCATACCAGTTGTTGAGGTCTAATGCGTAAACCGTAAGCGGTCATTGACATAAGTGGTACTTGTTAGCCAAGCGTTGTGTATGCCGGTATGTGCTCCAGATGTTGTTTGCAAGGTTGTTTAGCTGCATATAACGGTAACTCCTACATTCAGTTTTACTGGAACAGGATGCGCTGTTGTTCGAAATATATGTACAAAGAATCAAAGATCACTTCTGTGCACAAATAGCGTGCAGAACAGCTGGTTAAGAATCACGCAGTGGAAGTTATGTGCTTCAGAGCTTCCACAAGTTATTATATCCATTAGGGGGCCATTGTCGCATCATTTATTCATGCAGCTCCTTCCCTGCATGTGAAAGTAATGGAAATGCTGCTGCGGAAAGAAAGGAGTGCGCGTATTACGACGCCCGGCACGTGCCTTTAATTAGCGTGTTTTATTTGTCAGCTGTTAAGAAATATGAGGGAAATGGGTATAAATTCGGGAATCTGTTACGCTAACGCCTGACGTTCAGCACCGTAAAACTTTGTTCGTTTTCCTCATTCTGTGTGATTGCTTCTTGGCCGTCTGGGGCCTTATTCGGTATATTTGCCCAAAGAAAGTAAAGCTCCGGTCCATCCTTTCGTAATCTTACGTGGCCTTTGAGACAGTAGGAGTAGCTGGTTTCAAGAGGATGCACAAAATTTATTAGAACAGTAACTCTGCATACAATACGTATACAAACTGCAGAAGTTGTGGGTAGTGTTCAGTGTAACTGTGTAAGTACACGAACGTATAGAAGAGCAGTGATGTGTATTCTCGTGAAAGGGAGTGATGTCCATTATGCCGTAGCAACTGCCGATAAAAGTACCAGCGCTGGTACATAGTACGTTATGAATATTAATTTTAGTTGATTGACTGGTCCTGTCCCGAGTGGATATACGTAATAAAAGATTCTGCCGTTCGTTCAATATATAATATTGTCAGATGATTAACTTAAATACCATTGTATAATCGCACGATATAAAGTTCTTAACGGGTGAATATCAATGTTTTTTTATTACATCCTACAGCGACATAACGTAAGTCGTCGCTAACCTTTTGGTAGCGCTTTTTCTTCTCTAAGCAAGTATACGTACAATACAGCGCGTACGATAAAATGACGAAACATCAGTGATTTCCTCCTACAACGTTGTACCCTGTAAGTCCTGCAACAATCATATTGAGCTGAAAAATCCATCACCCGCCCCCTGTTTTAGTTCTTTTAAGATTCAGCACTTTGTGGTGCGTAATCTGAGCCGTGCTCACGAGGAGGAACGCCCCGATTGTGACGAAAATCTTGATGTGCGCATCGGCGACATTGCCACCGGCATCACGCTGTCTAATCTCTTGCTTCATACGTCTGGAGTCTGATTGTCGGCATGCGTTTTAGTGCAGGCTATAGTGCAACCGACTTTAAATATAATGCTCTGTATCGAAAACTGCGGCAAAATAGCTAAAGGCTATTTTAAGGCAGTGTGCGGCAAAATAGCAAAAGGATATTTGGCCGGTCGTACTGCGGCAAAATAGCTAAAGGCTATTTTAACGCAGTGTGCGGCAAAATAGTAAAAGGCTATTTTGCCGAACATAGTGCGGCAAAATAGCTAAAGGCTATTTTACCGCAAAAACGGCGGCAAAATAGCCACTTCGTTAATTATATTGATCCCTAAAGCGGTACTGATTAAAATAATGGGCAAGGCGAAGTATGCTGAGTTATGAGGAGTGATGTCCGTTTATCAGATATCTAGCGGCATACCAATGCGCAACCATAATCATGCGGATGTGTTATGCCTCCTGGGACGGGCGATTCTGGAACGCTGTAAAATTTCAGCCGACATGACGCACGACAAAATGGAGTTAAGCATCAGAATCGGGATAAATTCGGGTAAGCAAGGTTAAGTCGATTAAGGCCCAGTGCTACTCTTCAAGAAGTTTCGTAATTCCCGTTGTAAACTGATCCTTTATTGCTGCAGGCCCAGTAGTTGCGGGGGTCATCGGGACAAAAGCACCACGCTATTGTCTGTATGTATACGTTGGTAACGCGTTCCCACTGTGACGCATGGCCCATTAGCATCAAGGTCAAATCGATGACATGCAATAACTGCCATTTGACTTCAGATTTGGAGATACCGTAAACACTGCCAGTAGAATGGAGTCCACCGGAGAAGGTTTGTTCTCCTGTTAATGCGCTTTCTCCGTACCGTATATACAATGTACTAGTACTTGCGAAATCCTTGATTGCTGTTGCAGCGGGGAAGATTCATGTTAGTCCCCACAACAAAGCCTTGGCTGATATAAACCCATCGTTGGTTTTTGAATCCAGAGGGCTGATTTTCGTTAAAGTAAGAAATGGATCTGGCAGAGATAGCGATAAAGGTACCAAACGGTTTTCATTTTACAGGGAAAGGGAGAGATTTATACATATTGGCTGCTCGCATTGTGATCCTCCTGGTCAATACCGTCCGCCATACACTTGCAATGATTCTCAAAAAGTCTGTGATAATTCTGACTTTACCGCTCCCGAAAAACTTATCGCCAAGTTGTCTCGATAATTACATTGCCAATTTGTTGTTTGTAAAATGTTATCAGTTCAAATAGTTATGATTTTATAAGAGATGCGCAGTTTACATACCGAAGTATTGTCCATATATTATAACGTTTCTTTGTCAAATGCAGTCTTTTGCAGTTTTCGCGTTCCTTAAAACACATCCGCATTAGAAGGCAAACAATGCAATCAAATTCTGCTGGTTATAATTTGGCAAAAAAAGTGACTTTGAATTAAATCGTTTAGTACTTCTTCTGATGCGGTTTAATACTGAACAGTGCAGTTGGTTGTTCAAGAATTACACACTGCAGCACAGAGAATAAGTACAGTAAACGCATTTTATTTTCAAAACAAGTTGAGCCGGTTATGCCTGTGCAGGGATCTCGATTTTTGAGTCATATGCACAAGTATTGTACAACGTACTGTGCTTGAGCCAAATACATGTGGATATTACTAACAAGCTGCACTACAAAAATTATTATAGTTACGCATAAAGATTATTCTGAGCTAGAATACTAAGTAGGTACAGACAGACGCCTCTAGAAAAGTTTCTGGTGACAGTACTAGTGCCTGCGCTAGACATTTTGTGTGAGCGGACAAATACAAAATACTCGGTTGGACTATCCACATAAAGCGTATTTAATTACTGTACTTTTAGAGCAAGGTGCTGGTCATAAAATTTACGAAACCTCGGTATATTTAGAAGACCAAAGTACAGCCAGTGCCGCTCTACAGTAGTATAGGCTTCTGGCTTTTCATCCAAGTACATGGAATAACTGGTTTGTACGCGCTGAACTGTGTTACTGATGTCTTCGCTTCGTACAGTACAAAGTGATAAGTAAGTACTGTTACTAGTATCGTTCGTACCTTATCGTTTTGGTTTGCATTGGCCCAATAGATCATACAACATTGTACAGTAAACCTGCCTAAACTATCTCCATGCTATTCCTCGGAAGCTTGGTATTGCTTATTTACACCGGCAGTCGCTGCTTGGATTTCCAAACTGACTAATTGCAATCAAAAGCTCTTCCCGCATTTTTATTGCAAATTCTCCCAGCATCTCCCATTAAAATGATCGAATTCGTCATTGGAGACATACTTCTGACGACCAGTTGTCGACAATCTTCCGCCCGGACCTCCAGGTTCGCCTTCGAGCAATAACAGTCGTGTTGATTTTACAAAGTATATAAATAATGTAATTAGACGAAGAGCATAATAAAACAATAAGTCTGCCGGTCGTTGGCAATCTGCTGCAATTGGGAAGAACGCCTCCATTTAAACGCTTCATGGAATGGCGGAAGACGTATGGTGATACGTTTCTGGTTCAGATGGGCAGTGATTATCCCCTGGTGGTCATGCATGACTACAACACCATCAAAAAAGCCCTGAACGACGAGGTTACCGCCGGACGGGATCAGGGATTTGTTTTCCTTAAAGAACTTGCAGGAAAAGGCCATCTGGCCAACAGGGTGATAAATAACTATTCGCACACCGGTGTCTAACAACGTTTTAACTGTAGGCCTAATATTAACGCAGGGAGATGTATGGAAAGAACAGCGTCGTTTTGTTATTTCCACGCTGCGAGACTGGTTGGAGGATAATATTATCGGTGAAGTGGAGGATATGTGCAGAGTCTTGAGACAGCTCAATCAACAGCCCTTTGATCCCAAGACACTGTTATCCCACTCGGTGTCCAACGTCATTTGTGCCCTTGGTGTATTTATATCTCTTAATAACTGTAACTGATATAAGATAAGCATCACTTAATAATTATTGCATCGATCATATATCTTTACGTAACCCTCAAAGTTTGCGCGACCAAGCTGTACCAGTGGCAGTAGCGGAAGTTAGAAAATTAATTACACGCAAATGCAATAAGCAAATTTGCAACTTTATCTATAATTAACATGCGATGATGTGCATTCTATGTAAGGACATCGGTCTCGTTAACCGTTTATAACTACAGTTATATTTTCTTGATCGCTTGCATGGCATGTTGCAGGTTTCTCGTTTTCCATAGAATGTCCAAGTTAGGACAGTTTTCGGAAAACGGTTTGATCGATTTGGCAAATTGTCGACGCTATTCGCCGAAAATGTGCAGGTCATTGGTCCCATTCTGACAATAGTGCAGGCGTTTCCTATCCTACAATTTACACCCGGGCCATTTCGCCGTGCTGTTAAAATCGCCCAACGAAATGTTGCCGAACAACACTCATTCTGCAAACAGTTGATCAGTGAACACCAAAGCCAATCCTCATCGGAGAGTGCGGATGATGACATTGATGGCTACCTAAAAGAGGCCCAAGAACAAACACGAAAAGGCATTGTTAACAGCACCTTTACAGGTATGTAAACATCAAAAACGAAAAACATCTACAAGTATCATACGTAAAGGAAAACTCATAACTTACTCGTCCTTTCCAAAACAGAAGTATACTAGTAGAAATCTTATAATCTTTATTAAAAACCGGCTACACCGAGATTTTAGCAGTATACACTATGCACACTCCTTGTGCATTACAGAAGAGCAGCTGGTCATCTCCGTATTGAACTTGTTCGGCGCCGGAACGGAAACAACAGCAACAACCACACTCCGGGCGTTGATCTTTCTCCTGGAGAATCCGGACGTCATGAGCAAAATGCAGAAGGAAATCGACGACCATATACCGCGCGATCGCTCTATTCGGATGGAAGACAAAGGTCACCAATAATAAACCCATCACTATACGTACAATGCAACTATATCAGAAAACACAAACTGGTTGTATTGAAGGCCTGCGCGTACGAATTACATAATCAGATACGTAATACGTATAAGGACGTTGCAGGTATGCTGCCCTACACCGAAGCCGCAATTCTGGAAATCCAGCGCTGCGCCAGTCTCGTACCACTAGGAGTTTTCCACCAGACACTGGCGGGTATGGTGATTGACGGATACAATGTCCCCAAGGGTACACTGTTGGCTGCCAATCTGTACAGTATCCATCACGATCCGCGCTACTGGAAGAATCCGGCCTGCTTCGATCCTAATCACTTTCTGGACGCTGAGGGAAAGGTGGTACATCCTGCAGCCGGGTTCGCTCCTTTTGAAATTGGTACGTTAAGTGTTTGACATGGGCACTGTCTGCTTACAAATGTACAATGAAAATGTTAATTACGTCAGCGTGTATCCATACACCTTTCCAGGCAAAGGTCATGCCTGGGAGAAGCTCTGGCCAAGATGGAACTGCATCTCTTTATTGCCAACATAGTCAAGAATTTCAATGTGGAAAACGAGCTGGGAAAGAAAAATTTCCCATGAAAATTACGTTTCCAGCGTCATTATCGGTCCATCGCCTTATAAAATAGTTTTTATTCCACGATGAGCGCATAATTAGTTTGCTTAAGGAATGTTTTGTATTGATGGTTTACTATGTTGAGTGTGCTTAATTTTACGTTGTTATTTCTACAATGAATCGCATTAGATGAATAAGTAAGGTGTGCTTATTTACAACCGGCATGTCGAAGCGGCATTCTGCCTGTGCAGGAATTTTGAGCCATTTGTAGTACGGTAAAGTACTTGAGTCAAATGCATGGGAATATTTCATTTATAAGGTACAATACAACATTTATTATGATTAGGCATGAGATTATTCTAGGCTAGAATACTAAATACTGGCAGGTACAAACGCCTACTTGTATAGAAACAATTATTCCTTGTAACGGTGCCTGCGCTAGAAGCGGACAAATTCAAAATGCACTGTTGGACTGCGTATTCATACACTGCACAACACTGTTATCAGAATTTATTTTATTACTGCTAGAGCACTGTTTTGATTAATGGTTATCAAGTTCATGAAAAGTCGGCATGCATCGAAGAACAAAGTGCACATTTTTATCCAACTGATAGAACGACTGTTTCTTGTACTTACTTATTGAACTCTTATTCTTGTTGGCGTCACAAATTTGCTGCAACTTATGAATTATAAGTATCGTCATTATTGTTTTGGTTTGCATAGGCCCAATGAATATGTTGTGAAAATCACGCAGTTATTACTCTAAACTCACAAAGCGTGGCGTTGCCTCAGTGCCCAGATCTGCCTGTATAGTTGCTGCTTAATAAGGTTAAACTCTTTAATTGCGGTTAAAGCCTTTTTCCACACGTGCATTGCTTGCGGATTTTACACAACTACCGTTATATCATTACAAAGCTTTTCCCGCATTTCTCTTGTGAATCCTCCCAGAATTTACCACTAAAATGATCGAATTCGTTATTGGAGGTATAGTTCTGCTTCTGGGGCTGATTTATTTCCGATCAGAACGAGCTGTCGACACGATCGACGACGATCGACCGACGAGCTGTCGACACGATCGACGACGATCGACCGACGAGCTGTCGACAATCGACCTCCAGGTACTTCTCCGAGCATCATCAAGCAGTTTGTTGCTTTAGTACAATACGTAAATACTTTATGCAATTATAACAGGGACAAAATAAGACAGTTAATAGGTCTGCCGATTGTGGGCAATCTGCTACAACTGGGAAGAACGCCTCAGTGCAAGCGCTTCATGGAATGGCGGAAGACGTACGGTGACACGTTTCTGATTCACATGGGCAGCCGCTTCCCCATGGTGGTCATGCACGACTGCGACACCATCAAGAAAGTCCTGAATGACGAGGTCACCACCGGGCGGGACCAGCGATTTTGTCTTTGTTAAAGATTTTGCAGAAAAAGGTCATATAAAAGACGGAGTGTCGAGTATAGTAGAAAGATAATTTTTAACACAATGTATCTGAATTGCAGGCCTGATATTTACGCAAGGAGATTTGTGGAAAGAACAGCGTCGCTTCGCTATTTCCACGCTGCGCGACTTTGGCATGGGCAAGACCTGCTTGGAAGACAATATTATCGCCGAAGTCGAGGGCATGTGTGGTATGCTGAGGAAGCTAAATCGACAGCCCTTTGATCCTAAAACACTATTATCGCATTCCGTGTCCAATGTGATTTGTGCTCTTGGTAAGCGCATTAATTAGATTAAGTAAATGCAAATATTGTTAATTTGATCGTGGTCCCAGTTACCGTTGTGCAGGCATTACATTGCAGTGGCATTTATCTACAGTGCTCTGCATTTCTTTGTAACCGGTGCCATCACCTAATTGTCTGATTCTGAAACTTGACAAATTTTTTTAAAAAGATAAATATAGACGATAATTAAGCATCACCATCCATAAAGTACCGAGTGCATATAATGTATGTACGGTTTTCATAAATCTGTACGGATACAGTCAGATTTCATTTCCACCGGGGATTTTACAGTTTTTGGAAAACGATTCGACCATTCCGATGCGAAATTCGACACAACTATCAACACTTTTTGCGGAGAACACACGTGTTATTGGTCCAGTTTTGGCAGTTGTGCAAGCGTTTCCCATTTTGCGATTTGTTCCCGGGCCATTTCGCCGTGCCGTGAAAGTCGCCCGGCGAAACTTTGGCGATCTGTACGCATTCTGTAAACAGTTAATTAATGAGCACCAAAGCAAATTCTCATCGGAGAGTGCGGATGATTACATTGATCCCTACCTAAAAGAGGCCCAAGAGCAAAAACGCAAAGGAATTGTTGACAGCACATTTTCCGGTAAGCGGCAAAAACAAATTTCAAAATTAATTTTACTACAGTACTCATACATGAAAAGAACTGCTACAGTATACACAAGCTTTATACAAGAAAGAAAATACAGTTTAATTTTGAAACACTGGTTAAATCGAAAATCATCCGCAAGCCACACCATTACAGAACAGCAGCTGATTATTTCCGTATTGAATTTATTCGCCGCCGGGACCGAAACGACATCAACGACCACCCTTTGGGCGTTGGTTTTTCTCCTGGAGAATCCCGACGTTATGCACAAGATGCAGAAGGAAATCGATGACAACGTACCGCGCGATCGCTCTATTCGGATGGAAGATAAAGGTCATCGATCATATGCTCGTTACTATTACGTGCGGCGCACTCCAAGCAAAATTGGCAGTAGCCATGCGATCCGGACGGGTTTGTAACAATAATATAGATGCGAGAGCTTATAGGCTTGACATTTGTTAGGTCTGCTTCCCTACACTGAAGCCGCAATTCTGGAAATCCAGCGCTGCGCCAGTCTCGTGCCCCTTGGAGTTTCCACCAAACTCTCGCGGATACAGTGATCGACGGATACAATGTTCCCAAAGGCACACTGCTGGCGGCCAATCTGTACAGTGTCCATCACGATCCACGCTATTGGGAGAATCCGACCTCCTTCGATCCTAGTCATTTTCTGGACGCTGACGGGAAAGTTGTGCATCCAGCAGCTGGGTTTGCTCCTTTTGAAGTCGGTACGTTAAGCAGCTGACACTGTGGCCTTAGTTTATATAAAGATGTGCAGTCAACTTCTTATGTGGATGTGCTTTTGTAAACCCTTTTAGGCAAAAGATCATGCCTGGGGGAGGCTTTGGCCAAGATGGAACTGCATCTCTTTATTGCCAACATTGTCAAGAATTTCAATCTAGAAAACGAACCTGGTAAGAAAGTTTCCCATGAAAATTTTGTGTCCAGCTTTGTTCTCGGTCCATCGCCGTGTAAAATGGTTTTCGTTCCACGATGATCGCGCCATCATTATATGTCGGGAGCGTTTTGTGCTGGTGGTCTATTACATTTTGCGAATGCCTCTAAAATAACAGCAGAAAATACATGGTCGACTTGGAACAATTTTTTGTTGCGATTTCATAAAGTGTATGCATGTCCGGTTTTCGTGCAAGCATATTCATCCGCTTGTGAATCTGCGCTGGCAGACGGAACTTTGTAACTTCTTCTCAAGATTAAAAAAAGCATGAGAATATTTTGCAAAGGTGGAAAATTGCACACAGATGTCTGTATATAAAACTTCATGTACTTACCTAAGCATTTCATGCACCTGATTGTGAATTGTATGAGCTAACTCAGCTAAGAGTCTTACTTACCTATTTTTGCTATCCGTCGTTGGAAAGCTTTCAGCTGAATTCATGTATGGACTGCATCAACTCTAGTAACGCTTGCGGTTCAAGTAGTTTTTCAACCAGGTACGATAACACCTAAAAATACATTTTTTGACAAGCGTGAATTTTCAAAGCAACAAGAGACAGATACATCAAGCAATAAGACAGCAGATACATCTTCATAATAAATGGGTTAGAAAAATACGTATTTAGTTCACAATATTAGCCAGTTGTTGTTCTGTTTTACGCGTCATGTTTCTTTGTATATTTTATTTGTGCATAAGAAAACTTTTGAAAACCTGCAGTTAGAAAGTTGCCATGTTACTGCGTTGTTTACGTGCTGTATATTGTACCCCGCTCACCAGCAGGTCGTGTACAGACTATAACATACTCGTACAGATACAGGTAGAACGTACACAACCGACAGCGTAATACGGATATTATGCTAAGTAATTGCCGAGATTTCCTTGAATCCTTATCTCTTATCGTCGTTCATTAAATTATTGCTCAGACTGCTTGAAAAGCTAGGATGAAAGTCCTTTCAGTGCCCTATGGAATCTTATACAAATTGACAGTACGATTTCATTCTGCCACGTAGGTGTTCGAGATCCAGGCACATGCACAATGTTGTAGTTTTGGTGTTTCATCATGCTGCCTCTGACATGATGAAGCACTTTAGCTTTTCTGGCCGGTCTGCGGTTAGTATTTAAACACACCTCCACAAGAAAGTTTGTAAAAGCACAACAAACAATCTATCTCTATACTATCTTGCGTATTAAATTATTTCGCTATACAAACTGCCGAAAGAAACTGCAGCGGAGAAATGATTGAATTCGTTATTGGTGCTGTGGTGCTCCTTTTGGCCATAGCGTATTTTCGCTCCAGCCGGCACAAAAACTTACCCCCGGGACCGCCAGGTACGCAAAGACTTATGGCAAGCCCGAGTGGACTAAAGTAGAGTAAGCACTAAACTTTCTCCGAAGTTTAACGAAGTGTGATAAAGGTTTAGTCTTTGTCCAAAATCGTTAAAGTTTGTATGACTTTCTTTAAAAATTGAAATTGCAGTGTAAACTGGAAATAAATAGTTCAAACAAAGGTTTAATGCTTTCTTTCAAATTGCTAATCCAAGTCACGGATACAGATTAAAGAAATCTCATTAGCTAAACATTCCTTGCTAGAAATCTTTAAGAAAGTGTCTGGTTTTGGTGCGCGGATGTTGAAACATCACATTAAATTCTGAACGTCCTTAATCTGTTTATTGAACTTTGTTTTACACAATCTTTTAACTGTGAAGTTCCATATGATAAACGTTCATGCAAACTCAAGATGCTACATTTCTTTCAAAATTAGTCTCGTGGTTTAAAGTTTAAACTTAAGGTTTAAACTTTGACTTAAGTTTAAACTTTGACAACCCAGAGCAGAAAACTTGGAGAATAGGAGGCCGGGACGGTAACAGAGCAGAAGGGTAGGAGGCCAGTATGGTAGAAGGCCAGGAGGTGACGAGGTTGGGAGGGTTGGAGACCGGGTGCAGGAAAGTTGCGACGGTTGCCAACAGCTGGCAGCAGTTGCCATCCGCAGTGGGTTGATTAGATGAATATTGTAACTGCTTCCACGGGGCGGTTGGCGTGGTAACACTGTAATTACTAAAATCGCGGAAAAATAGAAGGACGAAACTGAACGCGGGAAGGTATTTTTATTCTTATAGGTAAAAAAGGAAATATGATAATATCACTGGTCATATCGTCTGAATCGTTGCTTCTGTCACGACGGACAGCTGGGAAAACCAGTGGTTGGTGTCTGAACCAGTAGAAGTTATAAGGCGGCAAAATTCCAATAAATATGGAGCTGATTGCAGTTCGTAACAACTGACCGGCATTCGCTGCAGATCTGGACTAATCTGATCTGGGAAAAGCCCAAAGAATTAAGGTTATTTCTGCAGTCAGCGGAACGGGAATGTTTTCTCAAAAACGAAATTAATGAAACAATTAGTATTACACAACAAACTGTGATAAACAGCAAACCTGCCAGTGAAATATTGCATGAGTAGTTAATGATAACTATAAAGTAATAGTCAACCAGAAATGTATTTGGCCAATTTGCCAAAAAAACTGCATATGTAGTTTTGGCTCTGTAGTTATCCTAAACAGCAATTAATCACTCGAGTCTATTAAATTTTGTCGAAATACGTTCGTATTGAAATACGTACTTGTCGTACTTTTTCCACAGCGCCAACTTAGAGCCGAAAAGCCTGCACTAAAGAGAGCTTGGCCTCGTTAATTAATTGGCTTAAAGAACATCTGGCTTTAAGGTTGTATGTCTAAGGTGGGTAACCTTTATCTTTTAAAATTAAACTTAAAATAGGTACAATTTCTAAATTAAACAAAAATTCTCCAGGAAAACCCACAATAATTATAATTAATTATAATGTGGCAAAAAACATGTAGTATATATTGGCACACTATACAACCTGTACCGTGTTCATCAAATCAGCAGTATTAGCAGCATCAAATTAGCTCCGCTGCCAGAGCTTCACGAGTATGTAAGGCCTCCTCTGGTTTAACCTGCACTTGGCCGTCAGGATAGCGACGTTTCCAGACAACGCCACGAGGAGGCGGCAGGAGGGAGAGGAAACCCTTGCTGTCCGACTCGTTCCCGTCCTCCGCGCTGATGGGTCATGTCAGGCATCATGAGACGAGAACGAGCGGATCGGCTGCGCAAGTTGGCTAACCGATCCTTCACGGACCCAGTAAAAAATTCATTCGCGCGGAGTGCGAAGCGGACAGTCGATTTTGCTGCAAAAATCGCTAGAAATTCAATCAAAAATAATAATTTCTTTAGTTACGTATTTACAAGATCGGCTAGTATTTTTAAGCAGTAATCCCTCTTTACCCTCAAGTTTCCAACAGGTACAAGCGGGCAGATTTCGAAGGGGCGAAACAGATAAATACTCGTAGAGTAAAACAGATTAGATACTCGTAGAAATCAAAGTAAGGAGCTTTTTTAACTGTGCAAGTGTGCAAGATTAAAAACGTTCAAAACCGTAAAATAATTTAAAGGGTTCAAAATAGAAAAATAATCATTTCAATATTTTTGTTCAATTTCTTGCAAATCTCGCAGGAATATCGTGCGTCGGCTTCGCGCGATACCCATTTTTTCTCCTAATTCTGCTTTGATTTAGTATGGGATCCATACTGGAACTTTCGCTAGCCTGAAATAATTTGATCACAGTTGAAATAATTTGGAATTTTTAAAAAAAATTCCAGCAATTTCCGAAGATTGTCCTCTGGATTCGAGCGAAAGTGGCTTTTTGTCTTATTTTTTTTGCGGTTGGTTCCGGACTTTGGGTCATTAGGCATACTTTACGTGCACTGCTTTGACAACATTAAAATACTATTTTTGACAACATTAAAATACAACGAAAAAGAAAATAATAAAATACAACGTAATACATATCCTCCCACCTCGGCCTCTCACCTCGCTCTCACCCTCAGCCTCTCACCCTCGGCCTCCACCCTCCGGCCTCCCCACCTCCGGCCTCCCACCCTCGGCCTCCCACCCTCCTAGGCCTCCACCTCGGCCCCACCTCCCGACCTCCGCCTCCCGACCTCCTACCCTCCTGGTTCCCACCCTCGGCCTCTCACCCTCCGACCTCCCACCCTCCCGGCCTCCCACCCTCCCGGCCTCCCACCCTCCCGGCCTCCCACCCTCCCGGCCTCCCACCCTCCCGGCCTCCCACCCTCCCGGCCTCCCACCCTCCCGGCCTCCCACCCTCCCGGCCTCCCACCTCGGCCTCTCCCCTCCTCCCACTCGGCCTCTCCGACCCTCCAGTCCCCACGCCTGTTGGCGTCCCGACTGTAGCTTTAGGTTATCCGGTATACGGGGCTCCTTATAGTATCATCATCCTTATAGTATATGTGACAAGTCTGACAACTCCCCATAACTTTGCAAGCTTCACGATTTTTTGACAACTGTAGTTATAGTTGTGAGATCACTTGAAACTAAAGTTTCGACTGAAATTCATCGATACAGTTTGAAAAGTTTTTTGAAGCTTAGTTTTAGTTTAACACAGAGTGTACATAAAAGTTTCAACTGTGACCCGGGTTAGTTAAAACAAAAGACTAAACAATTTCCAGCAAACTTAGTGGGAAACGAAAGTTAAGTTTCAAAAAGAGATTAAAGAATCTTGCGCATTAAGGAAACTCTTTAATGAAATGACAAAATCGTTCATCAAGATCTCAAACTAAAGGCTATTGAAGAGTTCTCCTAAATCCTTAAAAAACAGTTTGCTTTTGACCACTCGGGCTTGCCATAAAGACTATGCAGCTACCTAAATTTAACTGTCCGTCAACTGTTATAATATTGCTATACTCTATGTCAATTTTACAGCAGCTGATGCAAATGGCTTCTGAAAATGACAATTTGCAGAAGCTATAATATCTGTACATGTTGAAGTAGGCATGTTGAAGTACATGTTGAAGAAATAATTCTGACTAATAGGCATCATCCCACAATAATACCAATATTATTATTGTGCATTATATAACTGCGAGCATCTTGTGCAGTATTAAGCTGTTTACAACATGCATTTTTAATTATGTATTTATGAACTGCCTCACAACAGGTTTGCCTTTCGCCGGTCATATTCTGGAATTCACCAAAGACCCGCCATTTAAGAAGTTTATGGAATGGAGCAAAAAATACGGGGATACCATTATGGTGCACATGGGCAATCAGTATCCGATGGTGGTGATGCACGGCTACGACACAATGAAGAAGGCCTTCAACGAGGAAGTTAATGCCGCGCGAGATCAGCGCTTCCTCTTCAACGACTTCTTCCAAGGGCATGGTAAATTTATGTCAATTTGATCTACTTTGAAACGGAAACTTGAAATAATTGTAATATGATTTTTCCGCCAATCAACCCTTTATTAAACTAAGTGACCATTAATTTACTATGGATTACGGACGTGTACGCAAACGTGTTACGTAGTTGTAATGAGAATTACAGACTTAATGTATCAACTAACCATACCAACTTTTACAAACTCAACCGTTAGTGCTTTCCAGGTTTAATTATTAGCCAAAGGGGTTTGTGGAAGGAACGTCGGCGTTTTGCCATCTCCACTTTACGCGATTTTGGCATGGGCAAAACCTGGCTGGAAGATAACATTATCGCCGAAGTAGAAGATATGTGCGCGGTGCTGCGAAAGCAGAATAAACAACCGTTTGACCCCAAAACATTGCTGTCTCACTCCGTGTCCAATGTCATATGCGCTCTCGGTAGGTTTTGCAAATTTCTTGGAATAAACTTATGGAAGTACGACCTTTTCTGACCTCTACTGCCTCAATGCAAAATCGGTTTATCTTGATTTACTGTGTCGCTGGTAAAGAACACGTGTTTGTCTGCAGTTTTTGGCAAACGATTTGCGCATACGGATGCCAAGTTCACCAAACTGGCTTCGCTGTTTCCTGAGAATGTCCGAATAACTGGACCCACAACGCAGGTAATACAGACGTTCCCATTCCTGCAGTACATTCCTGCATGGAGTTGCATGGAACTCCATCAAACACGCTTGGAAAAACATATATGAGTTGTATGGATTCGCTAAACACTTGATTGATGAACACCAGAACAAGTTCTCCTCGGAAGAAGTCGATGACTACATCGATGCATTCATTAAGGAAGGGAAAAAGCAGCAAGAAAAAGGAGCTGTGAATAGCACATTCACCGGTAGGCGATAAATTATATATAGATAGAGCAATAATGCAGTAACTAACGATAAGTACTGGATTTTCGTGTACAATATGTGTGAACAGTTACTGCATGTGAATTAATATTACTTCATGCAGTAGAATATTTTGCTGGTCATATCTATACAAGTAGGTACAGATACAAGTAGGTATATCTATACAAGTAGGTATATTTTCGTAGAAGCTGACATGCAAATGTTGCTTTGCTTTACAATAGTGCGGCTTTGAGCTTGAGCTAAAACCATGTACAGGTGTGTACTCTGTACATGTTGAACTCACCATCAGCCAGTTGTAGTACTTGTATGCGCTGTCACTGTAACTTTTCAGGTGATTTTTGCGTTTTATAAATTTCTGTTTGACATAAGGAAATTTATTGATACTGCACTTTTAATTCTCCGCTTACGTAATCAGTATTCAGTGCATGTGACTCTCACCATGATAAACGAGTTGAAAGTTAAACCATCTTCGATCGCTACAATCTGTCGGGCAAAGTACTGTAGAACAAACTTTCGTAATATCTTTGACAAGATTGTGGTTTGCCTCCTTCAAGCAGGCTCCTTGCAAGACGCTTGTATTTACGGCTTTTATATATACTACAAGGGTGCATTTGATTGGGAATTGAACATCACAATACCCATGTTTTCTTTATAATAAAGAAGTCAAACACTCGTAGATAAGCAGCTAGTGACCTCGGTGCTGAATCTTTTCGCTGCCGGAACGGAAACAACATCCACAACCACCCTATGGAGTTTAGTTTTTCTAATCGAAAACCCGGATGTGATGTGTAAAATGCAGAAGGAGATTGATGACAACATCCCACGCGACCGGCCTGTACGAATGGATGGTAAAGGTCAGCACCGATCTAGTCTACCATAAACTACGATTATGGCATATCATATTTAACAAACAGTAATTACAGGGCTTCTTCCGTACACCGAGGCGGCAATTCTGGAGGTGCAGCGCTGCGCCAGCTTGGTTCCCATTTGTGTTCTCCATCAGACGTTAGCCGACACGGTAATTGATGGATATACTGTGCCAAAGGGAACTCTGTTGGCGCCCAACTTGTACAGCATTCACCACGATCCGCGTTACTGGAAAAATCCTGACAAGTTTGACCCCACTCACTGAGGCTTGGCGAGTATTGGCCCAAATGCTATTTTATTTCACCACTGGCTCGTTATGGCCCAAAAGGCATCAGGAAGTCTTTAGATGGTCAAAAAGTGTCATTAAGTCATTAATGACATTATTAATACTGGATGTACTCCTATCTAGCGGTGGGCCATGACGGGTGCCTAGTTGTATGTCATATTGTCATTAATGACAACTATAGTATTTCTGGATATACAGACTGTACTGGCGATCACCATTGGTGAAGTACAGAGGCGAGGCTTGGCGAGTATTGGCCCACTCGCTTCCAGGATGCCAGCGGAAAGGTCACCCATCCCACCGGATTTGCGCCGTTTCAAGTTGGTACGCTCAATATGATGCCGGTCACTTTATCAGCATACGCGCACACAAAAATAATAACAGAGCATGCTATTCAAAGCTACGAGGTCGACACATCGAGCCTTCAACATACGCACATGGTTCTTTATGCACGGCACACAAAGGTTAATTTGCACAATTTTGGCTGAATTACAATTTTTGCAGGCAAAAGGTCATGCTTAGGAGAAGCCTTGGCTAAGATGGAACTGTACCTCTTCATATCCAACATCGTGAAAAACTTCAATTTGGAAAATGCACCTGGGAACAAGGTGTCTCATGAGGATTATGTTGCCAGTATTGTTCTTGCTCCGGCCCCGTACAAAATTGTATTTGTACCACGATAGACGAGAAGCGCCAGATGGTGGCGCATTTACAGAGGGTGATTTCGCAATATGCTTCCACTTTATTCATAAATTTATTATAATTTCCGCCGCATAGACTTTATTTAAATATTTGCTCTATCCGAAAGCCCTTCTTCTCGGCCATCAACTCCACACGACAACGCCAGGAACAAAGTATTTTACGGCTCAGGGTAATTTAAGTTCTAGACAAAGATCGGCGAGCGACTGTTAACAAACCGCGAATCGACGTTGCATACTTGTGATACAAAATTCTTTTAAAAATCTCGTTCGTTCCAAAATCCATGAATGCAAAGTCCGGTGAGTTGCTCGGCCACATGCCCTTCGGAATATACAGACCCCACCCTCAGTAAGTATTCGATAAGGTTTTTCGTAACGAGGTATTGTTTAGAAATTGGTACCCTGTGTTGATAATAAATCAGTTTTGCTTTTCTGACCGTTTGTTTTGTACTGATATTATGAACACGGTACTACCGTGTTCAAATTTTGCAGTTTTATCTTCGGCGCCATGGTTTTTTCTTAGTTTTTACTTTTTAACTATAATATTGCAATGTGTTACAATACAATCTTTTTGCTCCCGGCAAATTTGCCTGCTCACCCTTTATTTTGCAACAACACATTATGTATCTGTAGATTACGCACTCTTGTGATGCTAAAAACTCCTACTTGTTGGTATTAAATTACTTCACCATTCTCACTGTTAAAATACCGCGATGGTGTACTGTATTTTAAATTTCATTAAGTAGCGGTGTGCTGCTGGTTTCTTAAAGGCCAGCTCACGTCATGAGTAACAGAGGTAAGAGTATAAAAGTGAAAAGGCAAGTTTTACACGGCTTAACTTTTACTTATTAATATCTATATACATAATATAGGTACTACCGGTACATGTACTATAACTTATAAGTGTACGGACATTGCAATATTATTAAGTGGGAGTGCCATCAGAATTTACTAAAGAATGAAGACGAAACCAACTGAAAAAGCCCGAACCAACTGAAATATTTAAACCGTGCAATGCGGACTCCAAACGCTTTCGTGTTTTTGGCGATTTGTCGACCATTAAGGACAATATTACTAATACCGAAAAATCCAGTGGAAGTGGACAGTGCACATTGAGCAAGCTAAACCTTTTAATTTTGATAAAGCTTACTGCTTTGGCTTGTATTAAATTTGTATTTACAGACTGACTGGTGATCCATAAAATTAATTTTTATACAATCATAGCACTTCCTTTACTTCTGTACTGCTATGATGCATCATGACATGATGCATCGTATGGGATGATTGTATGGGAACATGATGCATTGTATGGGAATACTGTTTTAATCATATTTTATCATGTATTGACTGATAGAGCGGAACTCCTCCGATTGCAGAATCCGGTAACTCTTGGCATCTACCATTTCCAGGCACTTCTCCACTATTCCACCGGCATGCCCATGAAATGCCTGCAAGGAAATACTTAATAACAACCACTCCACGACCTGGTTTTCTTGTCATAATAATGATATGGATGTCCCACCTCTTCGAAAGTGGCCAGAAAGTTCTCTAGATTAAGTTGACTAACAATCAAGTCAGTGCAGAATTTAACCAGCGGACGGTAAATCGTACTTGTCTCCGCAACTCACAGTCGCAAAGACATTGTCTGTCGTGAGTTTTGGAGCTGTATCAACATACATGAAACTGCAAAGTGCAAGTTTAAACGGATATGAGTACTGTAGCGGAGGAAGATAGATGAAACAGCTTTTGTCTTTCCAGTCCCATACCTAAGCAGATTGGCAAACACTTCAGGATGGATATCAAAGATGTCGAGGGCCGTTTGACAGTGCTCAGGGAGGCTCCCGTAAAACATCGTACGGAATACGGAATTGCGAGCAGCGAGCACGAACCTGCAAGAATCCATACACCGTCATTCCACAAGTAATAAGAATAAAATCTGCTTCGTGAGGCGAAGATAGTCGTACTTGAGCAGCGAAGTTCTTGATATGGCCGAACTGGCGTCCTACTGTGAAATGCACTAGGGTAAAACAGCACCCATAGACCACAGGCTTGAAAAACACACAGTATGATAATGATACAATATTATAAACTGCTGTTTTTGCCATTATGAATACAGTTACAGTGTTTGTGCTGCTGTCAAAGTAATGATATTATGTATTTTACAACTCTCTGCAGTTAGCATTGCCTTCTGTCATTGAAGTTCTGTGTAGCAGTTTCAACATGACATCATACAGTACATGTACAACCTGCTGAAGTCAAATTTTAAGGAAACGGGTGCCAGATAATGTACGAGCTTCGCGGGCCAGAGGCCCGGAGCGGATCGATACCACCGCGCGGTTATGCATCAGAAAGACAACCCTTGTATGATGCGGCGGACATGAAACATTTTATAAAATAACGGGTAAAATGTGTATTAAAATTTCGGATGGTGTGGCTAAAAAACTGCCCTGTTCGACTGCCGTTCTGGAGTTAAACGTGCCTTTACAACGTAAAATAACACGCCTTTAAAGTAAATATTCCCAAGCTTGAACCGGCTCTTTCCGTAGAGCACAACATAGGGCGATCCTGTGGAGTGAATACACCTGTGTAACAGCCTAACATACGCAAAATCCCGTTTGACTTGCCAGGTCACTAAGAGTCACTATGATCGATGATGACCTACGAAAATGGAAAGCAATCGATTTAAGTAAACCGAGATCGCAAATTCCGCTATAGTGAAAAAGCTGGGGTGGGAGCTTAAGGAGCTGATAACTATCCGCCCGCATATATTAAATTTGTGGCGTTGTAAGAGACAGATTCAAAGGCAAGTTTCATGCATCTGTTTCTGTGGTCCGAACTGTCCAGCAGATGGGATATCAGATGCAATAAGAAGATTACAGAAAATTTTAGCTGGTATATGTATATCAGGGTAGGAATAAGCTTGCTATAGAAATGATGTGATTAGAATCACTTAAGCGAAAAACAAAAGCCCTTTGTGAGCAGTGTTACTTATAGCTCCCTGATTGCTTGCGGTACCTTTAACTCATCAATCTGTGCTAAAGCTGGTCACCGAGGCAGCAAAATCGTTCCAATTTTTGTATTCGAAATATTGAGCACGCACAAATCGTAGATGATGCACACTTCCGGGCACGTAGATATAAACACCCGTGTACGTAAAGGGAAGCGGATAAAATGATTATATTATTACGAGAAATGTACGTATATCTACCAGATCTTCAATCTGGTAGATTATTCAATTATTAGATTTCGTCGTCCAAGCTGCTTGCTTTCTTTTTTGCCTCGAAGCATTTTGCTGCGGTGGCCTTTAATGTGTTGCACGTGAAAGATTTATAAAAGTGGGGGCTTGTTGGCGTGCAGTTTCGGTTTCTACCCAGGAGTGAGCTAGCCGCTAATTCCCTGTTAGACTTTGCAGCGAGCACGCATTATCCTCAAAATTGTGTTGTTGGTACTTAAATCAGCGCGAGGAGATATTGGGAAGACTTCCTGTTACTAATTAAATTTTGGCTATTAAATTTTGTTCATATTAAATTAGCTTTTCGTTGCATTCAACATGACGCTCGGGAATATTTCCTTTACTCTTAGAAATTCAACAGAAGCCCACTTCGACAGCAATTTAACTGGGCTGCGATGGAACTTCCTGGCCGGTTTTAAAGCGTTTACCGGCTCTTGCGCCTTCGTGTTAAATGCAGTGACTTGCGGCGTGTTGATCCGTAAAACCACTGGCCACACATCCTTTTACATATATCTTATCCATCTGCTGTCCTGTAACATGTTATACCTCATTCTGGTAGAGTTTTATGACATCATCATCTGGATGAAACCCACGTAGTGGGCGGGCAACATAATGTGCGAAGTGTACTTATGGGCAACCGGCAGCCTCACGTCTTGTATCATCTGCGCGCAAGCCCTCATCACCTGCAACCGTATAGCGGCGGTGACCTTTCCCAATCACTATCGACTGCATAACTCCATACCTGTCGCCATCGCAGCATGTGTAGGAATGTGGATATACGTCCACGTTATCTACGTGCCGATGCAAATTCAAGACTCGCTGCTGTACCGTTTACCCGGTCAAACCAATGGGTGCAAACTGAATTATCTGCTACTGACGTGAATTAAAAGACCTGACACAATGAAGTGGGTGCTGTATCCACTAGTCCGACCACGTCCAGTCGGATAGAGCGACTCTGTCTCAAACTGTTACGGAAGATGGTAGAAGATTACGTTGATCTGGTATGAAGAAGGAAAGGAAAAGAAGAAGAGGTCCGGGTCCTGCAAACACGAGAAATACACACGACGGAGAAGTATACGTTACCTGTCCGACGCTAGATGTTAGCAGAAGCGATAAGAGATATCCATCAACCTGGCGCTACAGGGCATGAAGATGATGATGAGACCGAAAGGTCAAGGCAAACAAGTGGGATCAAGTGGGTAACCTGTTACGTCACGAGACTATCCGAAGATGATAATGCACGTCGACGAAGTAGAGGAATGACCCTGACAATAGGTGAAAGGTCACCCAGAGGTCAGTTTGAACAGCCTCACTTGGAAAGAGAAAACCAGAGCAAAGCCTGAAGTTAATCAGATCGAGTAACAAGACTCTACTTTTGTTGGGATTACAACTCTTGACATTTGTGTGGGCGACGAGCGCCTTATATAGCCCTGGGCACCGCAAGTGCTGGCTCTTCGTACGCGCAGGTACGGGTCTGAGAACAATAGGGATCTAAACTCTAGCCAATAAGAGACATTTGAGGACACGTGGACTAATCACACCGCTGCATCACTACACGTGGACTAATGAGAACATGGGGTCGACTAATACACTAGAACAATAGGTTGAACTACGTCATCGAAGCGTGGTCACGTCGAAATGGCAAGTCGCGGTCAAAGTTCTCTGCTGGGGATTTCTGAGAAGTCGATACTCGGAGTCGCGGTCATGACTCGCGTAGGAGTTGTAGTAAAGCCTAAGCCTTAGTAGTAGGGGTAGAAGTAGTAAAGTAGTACCGATGTGTACTAAGGGACGCCAGTACACGTCACCCCCGCAAACGAGATTTCGCTGCATCGTAGTGGAACAAATGTGGAACATCGTGTAACGACGTGGAACGTAGAGGAAGCGAACATAGGGACATAGGAAATCGTAACATCTGCTCCATCCGCGTAGTGCGTGCAACATCTAGCACTATCGCCAAATTCCATCCCGACTATCCGGTGCCATCAAAAGGTAAGTAACGTCGCTCGATCCGGTAAGTTGTTAGTGAGTTTGAGTGTTGTAGGTCATCGGATCCTGGAGCGTAACTGGCAATCCGGAAGTCCAAGGAAGTGGAAAGGCGGAGAGCAGGGACGTCCATGAGATCCAAGCGTATAAACGACAAAAAGTTCTTGTTTTAGCATTAAGTGCTTTAAATTGGTCATTTGATGTTATTTCGTATTTCTCTAACTGGCAACAGCACGAAAGTATTAGTCGATTGAAGCCACCGTACTACGATCAACTAGTGAAAATTAAAGGATTAAAAAGCCAACTGCAACAAACAAGATTTAACAATACTCAGACTTTATGCAATAGTAAATGTTTTGACAAATACTGTACTATTTAAAAATAATAAATCTGCTGTGGCTGTAATTGGCCGTAATTAAGAAAAATATTGCTACTTCGAAACATGGAGTTAAAGCTTATTCGTTAAGTCCATTATGTGAACATCTAACTGCGGAATTGGTAGACGGACTAGAAGACCTTATACTGAATTTACAAATTAACTGCATGTATCCTATTGGAGTACCCTGAACAACATTGCACAAACAAACAATACCCACGAAATTCAACAAGAATTCAACATAGTATGCTCAAAACATCCGTGTTTTACGTTCATTCATAATAATTTCTGAAACGGGTTAGGGTGGGTGGGAACATATAAAACTTCATTTAAAAGGTAATCATCGTAATCAACTTTTCGAAAAGACTTCCATAGTTTATGCATCCAGTTACACTCAGATTTAAGTTCTACATAATTAATATCGCGCATTTATTCGAACACAATTCGCATTGTTTTATACATAGAATTAAATTTCGTGGAACCGAAGTTATTATTACTGTATTTCATAAACAGTACTACTCATTAGATTATTGTTATAGTTTTCCAAAATAAAAGGTTGTTTTCTAGCATTAGCGTAAATTTGGAAG